ATTCTGTTGCCCAGACTAGAGTGCAGTGGCCGCTCCCGGCCACCGCAGCCTCAACCTGCTGGGCTCCGACGATCCTTCTGCCTCAGCCCTCCGAGTAGCCGGAACTACAGGCACGCGCTCCCATGCCCGGCTGATTTTTTGATCTATTGTAGAGATGAGGTCTCGCCTGCCCAGGCGGGTCTCGAACCCGTGGGCTCAGGCAATCCACTCACCTCGGCCTCCCAAAGTGCTGGGATTACAGGCTGAATCACCGAGCCCGGCCTGTAGATATCTTCTTGAAACTGGCATTGAGGAGAACAATTCTACTCACTGCTCCTGGAGATGTCATTAGCAGAAGCCAAACCAAAGCAAGTTTTTGTGTATGCTGGTACGTATTCTCCAGAGATCACAATACTTTGGGCCTGATTTTTTCTCTAGGAAAAAAAAATACATCTTTGTTACTTGAGAATATATCTGAGTGTGCTAACCACTTTTTCAACTTGTCAACACTATTTGTAGATATAATTTTTTAAAAATCTACAGTCAGATGTATATTCAGAAAAAAGAAAAACAACATCTGAATTCTCCAATCAAAACAAAAAGCACTATATAGGGTGTTCAGGGAACCATCATTTCCAGGATTGGAGACAAGAGCTTGGAAAGAAATTAGAAATGTCAGGCAGTACAAAAAGCGGTCCTTCCATTCTGTATACTTTTTGACATTGAGGGTTTTCAGGGCTACATTCCTTCAACAGATGTCATCAATTGTGTGTGTCAAACAACGAATGAAGCTATGTTGAGAGTTCACTAATACGAATGTAACTTCAGCCAAATTTTTGACAAATGGGCATCAACCCAGAGGACAAGGCTGGTTTCTGCTGCCTGTGAGAGTTTTGTTTCCATCTGTTTCCAAGGCCGTGGAGAACAAAGAGTCGAGTCAAGGCCTTATCGGGGCCTGCCAAGACTGATGCCCTAAGCTTAAATGCTGATTCAGAACCAGCAGGAACCTCAATATCAGCGAGGCCAGCAGAAAATGAGACCAGGAAAGATGGCATAGCTTGTGTGTGGCCACTCAGCTGGCTGCGTTCGGCTCCCACGGAGGCAGGCGGCAGGCGGCGCACAGTGGGTCCTGGAGGCAGAGGAGCTGGCCCTGCACCCACCCACGCTGACGGTTTGACCAGTTAATATTGCCATTTGGGCAGTGATGTCATCATCCCCAGAGGTCATGCACGTCCTTGGACTGAGAACTAGCCAAGGCAGCTGGTGTAGACTGCCACCCCACCAGCCCCTTTTCTGTCCCATCATTTTCTGTGCCTGCATTGGGCTCTTCAGGAAACTGAAAGCAACTTTGCCATTGTCCTGGAGACCATTAATCAATTGCATGGGCATGGTACCCCACATGTGGAAGACAAACTATGTTTGTTGATTGGGCAAAGGGCCCAGAAACAAAGCTAAAGTAACAGTTTCAAAGTTGTTGATCACCTATGCACATGAGGTGAAGAACATTTCAGAATAGTAGATTCAGACCCGGGTCGGTGGCTCACACCCATAATCCCAGCACACTGGGAGGCAGAGGCAGGAGGATCACTTGAGACTGGCTTCATCAACATAATGCGATCCTGCCTTTACCAAAAAAAAGGAGCAAGGCATGATGGCTCATGCATGTAGTTCCAGCTACTTGGGAAGCCGAGGCCGGAAGATCGCTTGAGACCAGGAGTTCAAGGCTGCAGTGAGCTATGTTCTCACCACTGCACTCCAGTCTGGGCGACAGAGTGAGATCTTGTTTCTAAAAACAATAAAAACAAAATAGACTGGGCCTATAATCCTGGCACTTTGGGAGACCAAAGCAGGAGGATCGCTTGAGCCAGGAGTTGGAGACCAACCTAGGCAACATAAATGAGACCTTATCTCTACAAAAAATGAAAAGATTAGCTAGGCATGGTGGCATGTGCCTGTAGTCCCAGCTACTTGGGAGGCTGAAACAAAAGGATCGCTTGAGCCCAGGAGTTTGAGGCTGCAGTGAACCGGGACTGTGCCACTGCACTCCAGCCTGGTTGACCCCTGACAATAGATAGGCAGGTAGGTAGGTAGGTAGGTAGGTAGATAGATGGATGGATGGATGTAGATTCAAATGTCACATTTAAGCAAAACACTGGCCCTTGACGTTTCTGCGACTCCACTCTCAAGCTGCTTTTGGATCTGTTCCCTGGTAGGAGTGGACAGGTTACAGAGGCCTGGCAGCGGACGGAAATGAAGGCAGTTCAGCCCTCTTTCATTCTAGAGAAGCCACTAGGCAGGATTGCTGTGGAACCTGCTGTCTGCAGAGGAAAGACAGTGCCGCGAAAGGTGAAATGTGCTTTATGTCTAGCTGAGGAGAAGTCCTCGTTCTGTCGCCCAAGGTGGTGGGCATGGGCTTCTCTTGGCGGATGCTGCGTGGCGGTGAGGGCAGAGGGCCGGCACACTTCACAATGGTGCGTCCTGGTCACCATCAGAAAGGCTTTGGCATACTGCCTCCCAGCAAAACTCTTCGGACTCATAAATCCAGTGTGAAACTCCTGGGTACTTGCTCTGGAATAATAGAGCCCTTTGACCTTCCAAAGAGCTGGGTTTGGACGGACTGACCACATCCTGTATCAGCACCCCCACTCCCCTCACCCCATCCCAAAGTCTACTTCCTCTCTGAAAACGCTGCTTCACAAGAAAACATTTGCCAAGGAACTACTTGAATCATGCTG